AACAAAAAGGAAAGAGTCCAGGAGAAGCACCGAAAGTGGAGGTCTTGTTATCCTTCTCCCCATAAAGTCAGGACATTATTTTTTTCAGAATCAATGTGTGACAATACACACAGAGTATTGTCCACCAGGGAAATTCACAGGAGCCTCAGTTTTCAGAGTTTTTATTGGGACTCCATTATGAGGCTTGATTGGTTGATTACCCACATGGTTGATCTGTGTCTCCAGGCTGTGCATGGACTGTCCCCTTCCACAGGGGTCCTGGTGGGTCCCTCACCACCCCTGCTCTGTCCAGCAGGACCAAATCACTCACCCTTACTCACATGGCTGGTCTTTCTGTTGGGCTAGCCCTCACCATAAATCACATTGTTGGTGTGGCTCAAAGCCCTTACTCTACATCACATTGTTACTATCTGGCCAGCCCAAGGCCCCTAGGCAAACTAAGACCTTAGAGATTACCTCCCAGAAGCTTAGGGAAGATGCCAGACCTCTCTTTGGGTAAAGTTAACTCTTCACCACACATTTCCTGCCTCCAAATCCTTAACTTAACCACATCTGCCAAGTCCCTATGTCATGTAAGGTAACACATTTACAGGTTTCAGGGATTAGGGTGCGGACATCATTGGGGAAGCATTATTCAGCCTACCACAAAAACACTCAGAAAAGGGGGAGGAGGAAATAATGAATATCGGAGCAAAATTTAATGAATAAAGAATCAAGGTACAATGGAAAAGATCAGCGAAGTCAAAAGTTTGTTTTTTTTAAAAGACACATAAAAAGACAAAGTTCTGGCAAAACGAATCAGGGAAACCCTGAACAGAATCACTGTTAAAACTGAAGGGGCCATAACTGCAGATGTAGCAGGGGCCAGAGCCAGAGTCTACCAGGACCCACTTGGGGACAGTATGCCCAGGCTGCGACCACTCACCCAGGCCCCCATCCAGAGGTCCAGGCCACGACTGAAGATGATGTTGCTGGCAGCTTTGAGGTCTGAAAGGGATAGAGGAGGGGGTGGGTGGTGAGGGACTGGGCGTGATCCCTGTGGAAGGGGGCAGTAAAGCACAGCCTGATATCTTTCCCAGTGACCCACAAAAGAACCTTGAGCTTGGACCGGATTTGTCAGTTTGGCTTCTTGGACAGGATGAGAGTATGGACTAACTCCGTTTTTCTGGGGCTTCTTGACCCATAATACCCCACAGCAGTTAGTGGGCTATCAGCACCTCCCTCCTCTCTTGCCCTGAGCACGTGTCTACTTTCTCAGAAACTGCTTAGCTAAGTGTGTGTGTTATATGGCGCCTGCCAACCCCACTTCTATATGTGTTCCCGGCAGGGAGGGAACGGGCCCTTCTCCTGCAGCACAAGAAGGGTGCATTCAGACCACCCCCCTGCACTGGCTGCCGTGGAGAGTGACCTGCTGGTCATGGGGCCCAGCCCCCGCTATTGAAGTTGCTCTTGCTCTGTTCTCCATGTGAACAATGTGTTGTTCCAACCAGTGCCTGTGTGTAACTTGTGTTTTTCTTGGTGACCCCGACACTTGCAAACTATGGAATGGGCTACTGTCCTCCATGTGATGGGACTCCTCTCCTGGAGATGGTTAACAGATGTCACTTGCTTGACAACCCCCAAATCTGTGAGCTGTTGGGTGGGGGATCAGGGTCCTGCTGTGTTCCAAGGGGTAGGATGGGCATTAGCCACCACTTGGCCCTCAAGATCACTGCATCTGGGGGTTCACACAATAGTGAGAGGCTCTGGGGGTGTGACTGGAAGGACCTAGGCTGGCCTGGCTCCTGACATCTCTCTGTGGGCCACAGTCTGTGGGCCAGGGGTTGCTGGAGGGGCTGCTGGGCACTTAAGGTATCCCGAGCTGGGGGGAGGAGGAGCAGGTGCAGGAGCAGCCTGATGGTCACCCGGCCATCCGGGGGAGGGGCAATTAGGACAGGTTCCTGTGCGTCTTGTTTATACTCTCCATGGGGTGAGGCTGCTGGGGGTTCTGCCCCGTCTTCTGACTCCATGGACAGCCCCTCTGTATGACACAGGGGCAGGTTTGGAGCGACTGTGGCTCCAGTGGGTGCGCAGTGTGCTATGCTGGTGACAGTGATGATAATGGTGATGGTGACAGTGAAGGTGGTCATAAGAGTGACTGTGATGGCGATGGCGATGGTGACATGAGGGTGGCAGTAGCAGTGGCAATGACACTGATCGTGATGGTGTCAGAGATGGTGGCCGTGGTGGTGAGTGATGGTGACAGTGATGATGGCTGCAGTGAGGACAGTGTCAGTGATGGTGGTAATGGTGGTGATGGTGACTGTGACCCTGTGTTGATGGTGTCAGTGAGGGTGACTGTAGTGAGGACAGTG